TTCCCCCCCCCCCTACCCCTCCCCACCCCCCTGCCACTGCTCGTCCCCCTACCCCTGCCGTTCTCCATCCCTCTCCTCCTCCTTTTACCCCTCCCCCTATCTCCCCTCTCTCCTCTCCTTCCACTGCTAATTTTCCTACCCTCCCACTTTTCGACTTTTCCCTCCCCCGAGCCCCTCCAATCCTTCAGATCCCTCCCCGCTTCAAGAACTTCTCCCAATCCTCTTCCGCCACCTCCCCGAACAACACCACCATTGTTAACACCCCGCCCACCTCACATAGCATTACCGTTCCTGCCTCTTACTTTTCGCTACCCTCATCACCATTGCCCGCTATAACTTCACCATCCAACACTAGTCCTCTCAGTTACGAAATCCCTTGCTGCTTCACTAACCTGCTCAGCAGCAACAGTAGTGAGTTCCACAAGGAAATGGAGAGAGAGAATGAGAAACTGTGTTTGCTTCTCGCTTCCGTGACGCAGACAGATCACCTCCCTTTTGCCCAATTGTTGTCACCAACATCTCTGAATTGGAATTCTGCATCTAGCAGCGTTCCTACTACTACTACCAACACCACTGCTATGCCTGCTAAGATTGGTAGAACAAGAATAAGAAGAATGAAAAACGTTACAACTTCTGGCAAGGGTAAGAGAAATAGCATAGGATTTGGTGCAACTGAAAGTAGCAGGATGGGATTATTACAAGACGATCTCTTGCAAGAGTTTAAGGCAGCTTTGGAAGTGAATGAAAAGGATACTTCGACCGAGCAGAGTCATTTGGTTTTTCAGGATGCTCAGCAGAAGCCAAAGGAGCTCATGTTCGAAGATTTCTGCGGAATACAATATTCGGATCTTTCCAGCTCTCTATCTTTGTCTTCAGGTCAGCATTTTTTTTGTTCATGCATGTGAATAGACTTACCTTGATATTGATTGATAAAATAATGATTTCCTTTCGTCGCCTTGATTTTCTGTGCATGCAGAGTTGACGCCAACAGATGGTGAAGTAGCAGAGCAATTAAACAGTAGCATGACTGATGATTTGACCAAGCTGCTCGACATTTTCCCTTCTTCTCCCTTGCAGCTCTCTGATCTGTATACCGATGACATCTCCAATGGGCAAACTTCGGTCATAATTGATGATAATAACATGGATATCGATATGCAGCAGCAGATAGCTTTATTGTTTCCCACCACAGCCACAGACCAAGGCGGCAGAGCCGTTGGAACTGGCTCTTGGGACAGCTTGCCTGGGATTTACTGACAGACAGCTTGAAGAAAGAAAAGGAAGCATCATGGGCTTGGAATTAATTATTTCGGTTATTAAATTCTACTAATATTAATTTCTAATTTGTATGGATGGTGGTAGAGTTTACCTTTTCCACTTAGCTTTTGATCAGTATTAACTGGAAATAAAATTGCAATCAGGTGAAATGGATCAGGTAAAGAAAAGCTGCTTCATCTTCCAAGTTACTCTGAAAAGTGTGATAGTTTCCATTTCCAAGGGACACCCAATGATCCTGATCAATTCTCCATTGAAAGATCTCACAATCTAGTGTTTGGAGATCTAGGGAAGGGAGGGGAGCTACACCTTAGCTGGATCTGTTAGAGGAGTTAGAAATAGGTCAGTCGCATCTTGTGCCGTTGGGGGTGAACTTAGGAACTCGTATTGAGCTACATTTTCAATGGTTTCCTTGCAAGGAGAAAAAATTAGTGCACTAAGAGTTGTGTTTTGTGAACTCCAAACAGCATGCCGCGTGCTATCAATTCTATGCATTTCTTTACGGTACGATGCAGGACGCCGGCGCATAGAGTTGATTGGAAGATAGTTCAGGTGGCAAGCATGCCCACTTTTTTCAACACAGATTAGCTTGATGGCTTGCAACTCGTGAGGAGAGATAAAAATAAGAGCTTTGAAAAATGCAGCATAACAGCACAAGTACAATAACAGAGCAGTCCATGCTCTTGAATACAGTGAATTCTATGATTCTCTAACAAGTGAAATAGAGAACGCCTTCTATATAAGAAGAAAAAAAAAAGGTAAAGGTCATGCATTTGATAGTCTTTAGTTGCTGCTTTCTGATGAGTTAAGCAGCAGCAGTGAGCGCAAGATATTTCAAGGAAGAAAAGGAAAAGCAAATGCTTTTTGTAGCCACCACTACATGTATAACCACAGCCAAAACCCTAATCGGCATTAAAAGTTGGTGAGAATCATGCAACTAAGTAACTCCTTAATGTATATAAGCCAGAAGGCAGATAATATATATATATTATAATCAAAATGTGCAATGTGTTCAGCTGGAAAACATCCTGTCATCGTTCTACCATATTAACACATCCCTAGAATCTCATAAAGAACCCGAGGCTTCTTAAGCTGGTATTGGTCCAACCAAATTTGTCAAAAATTGTGATAATAATAGCTGCCCTAAAATTGGCTGCCAACCAACTAACCCTTCCCATGCTGTCAACTTCTTTGCTCATCTGTCATCAATCCGGAACTGTTCACAGTTGATCGATCCAAACCTTGTGAAGTTTGTAACAAGAGCATTTATCATCTTTTTTACAGTTGCTTTGAATTCACCCGAGGCACCCATGTCAGCTTTATCAACATCAGCTACTCCATCTTTAACTGTAACAGAACCTACTATAGCACCATCTGCATAAGCTTTGCATGCCACCAAAATATTATGTGCACGATTGTGGAAATGACCAATGACTAAATCTTCAAAATGCTGCAAGCAAACTCAGTCGAGTTAGTTATTGCAGTAGCCACAGACAAAGTTTAGAATCCAGCAAATGTCCCAAGTGAACTGGAACATGCATGTGCAAAATTGATGACCACACAAGTAAAATCACAATGCTCTTAAATAAGATGAGAGGCCGATGGTATTGCTAGACAGAACAGACCTACTAACATCCTCTAAAGAAAGAGATAAAAAAGAAAAATGAATATCAGGAGGAAACAAAAAATCAATATCAAATAAAACGACATATGGTTAAGGCAAATTATCCAGGAGGTCCCTTCAATACAAGAAACTACTGCAAATGGTGGCGAACAAAAAACTACAATGGACATCAACAAAGATGAAGCTCAAAGCATTGTCAGTTGCGCAAGCTTTTAATACCAAAGCTAGGGCCAATACACCTTTTAACAAATTGCCAGACAAACATGGGGAATGCCTGCAAGGATAATGCAATGCACCACATAAAGAAACTCAAACATTAATAATCCCTTTTTTTTCTATTTTATTTTTCATTCAAAAGCTAAAACAAAAAATTAACAAAACCAAGGGTAGGTCTGCCCCAGTAAAATTTTGATCAGATCCATACATGCTAGGACCATGGAAAGATAACACCAAAAACGGTTGCCAATTTGGTGAATCCAAACTATAGGCAAGAACTTTATGTCCGTGAGAACAGAAACAAGAACTCCCAAGTAACAAAGCAGCAATTGATTATTAAGAGGGGGCAGTCAGTGTGATCATACCTTTGGTGGCCTTCGTAGAGTATACATCATTGTCTTCAAGGACAAAATGAACACCTCTTCATTGTATTTCTTAGATCTTTTATCCCCTTCAGCCCCCACATATGAGGATTCATACCCAGGCTCATTAAAGAAAGGTTTTGCATTTAGAATGAGGGCTTGTATTGAGACCAAAACTTGCAGCATGGTTGATTTCCCTGGGATCCACATCTCAGTCTCTTTGCCAGACCAGGTGCCCAAAAGGCTGAGGCAGACTTTTCCACATTCATACAGATTTGGATTCAATCTAAGCCCACCTGAATAGTAGTATACCATCTGACAAGGAGGAATCACAATCAGGCACAGCATAAAATATTTATATGCATAAAAAAGATATTACAAATTACTTACCGGTGGTGCATCAGGATATGTAGGAGGGAATAAACAGTCAAAGACAAAAAGGCCATCATGGTAGGGAGTGCCAGCAGGTCCTGCAATGACAGCCCTCAAAAGTTCCATCCTTGTTTCATAAACTCTAACAAATATAGTATCTGAGAGAGAAGGGAAGGGGGTTCAGTCATCTAACCAAGCAATGCCTTATAACCAGAAAATGAAAACGCTAGTGAATGACAAATGACAGACTAATTTTACAATCAATAGGGTGGCTAAGATACAACTTTTGCAAAATGCCAAACTTAAGCCAGCAAATAGATTCAGAAGTCACCTGGTAAGTCTTTCTCCAAACTTTTCCATTCATCCTGAATTCTTTTCGCCCAAATTTTGGGAGGCTACAGCAAAGGAAAATTCAATGGAAAAGTAATAAATCAATCAATACAAACAAGTAATAAAACACTTTTTTGACCTATTAGAGCCAATATAAGCATACTGATATTAAGGTATTATAACGAATTTTTTAAAGTTATGAGACCATGGCCCCCTCATGGTTGGCTTATGTGTCACCCCTTCACACAGATTTATGCATGTATCTGTGTGAGAGGGACAGAGGGAGAGTTGAATCTGCAATTAACTTCACTCACCGGGAGGTCAGAGACACTGGTGCCCCTATAGTGATGATCAGAAAAGTCTTCCACATTATCAAATTGTTTAAAGTTCCTATACTTTTGCATGGTGTTGTTTTCTTCGCTATCTTCTACTTCACCATTAGAGCTTGAATCTGCAGGAAACATCGAACTACTTGCAGAAGCAGTCCATTTGTTTTCAGATAGACAAGTGGTTGTCATAATTTTGCTCACGGAATGATTATGATTAGTATGACTAGGAATAGCATGATTAGGAATAGTTGAGATGCTGGTATTGGATATCATATTTGAACTCGAAGCTGGTTCCTTCAGCCAAGGAAGGGATGCCTCTACTCCAGGAGGAAGATCCACGTTATCAAATTGAGATTGGATGGCTGAATAATCATCTTCATCTTCATCATCATAATATAAATAGCCATCAAGGTCATCACAATCATTATTGTCAGCATAATCATCACAATCGTGGCCAACCTCATCATCATGGTATGACATGTCAGAATTGGAACCATTATTATTGTTTGAATTAGTTGATCCAGAAGTTGAAACCCTGAGATGATAAGCACTATCCACTGATCCTGCTACACTGGTATAATTGCCAAGATCACTGGAGGAAGCATTCTGGGTAAAGAGCAGAATTTTAGACAAACAATGGCTTACATTCAAAAGAACAAAAAAAAGCCATGTACAATTACTTTGGTGTTCCAAAAGTTCACCTTAACGTCTTGTTGCCATGCATCATCATCAACAGATTTTGATTTTCCCTTGGTGCCCATACCAGCTTTTCCATGGCATATCAAAACTTCAGCTTGAGCATCCATTACATCACACAGTACAACCTAAACAACAAATTACTTCCAGCATTAAAAACAACTACAGCATAATTTACAAAAACATTATTGCGTAGAATTATTTAAAATTTTGGTAGAATTGAAAAGGCAATTCTCTGCTGCAAAGATTGTGAAATTTGGTAAGTGCCATTTAGTTCTGCAAGTACAAAACTAGCTTAGTCAGCCTATAGGTGGGAAAATATGCAGCCAAGTACAGAATGTATGCTTCATTGTTTTTCACAGTAAAGCATAAACGAGTTTCCACAGCACATGTTCAACTCCTTTGTTTCCCAATCATGCAAGGCAAAGTAAAAACTAGAGTGGAGCTCAAACAGCTAATGAGATGAGAAAATATAACTAGTCTACCACTTCACAAAAAACTTAACATAGCCAAAATTTCCAGCATGCAAGCAAAAATGAACCACTGCCATAGAAATTACCAACAAATTTTATTCTTTTTTCTCTTTTCTAACAGTTTTCAGCACGCATGTTTCGACAGAAGAAGAAATAGGCTCATCCTCCAATGTCCATATACATGATGAAACCGTTGAGGACGCCAGGTTTCTAACTCCATTGCTGCCTCATAATGCACAACAAATCGTGTTAATTATTCTCAGACTGGGTAATCTACCTTCTACAGTTGGATAATGCAAAAGACATCCAGAAACAAACAATTCCAAGCATCATGCCAAACCTAAGACATGTTACCAGAATATCTCGAAATCACACAACTCCGGTAAAATTTCCCAATTTAAGCCAAAAACTTACAAACTTGCACTCGATAGAGAAACTAAAAACAAAATCATATTCAAACCCTAATTCCGTTACAATTAGCTAATACCACCCCCAAACTTTAATGAAAAATCAGTATAAATCCCAATTTGTACTTAACTTTAATAAAAAATCAGTATAAATCCCCAAGCTTTCTCTTATCACCCTAAGTTTCTTCCTTTCAAATTGCAAGTACATTATACCACCAAATTAGCAAAAAACATAGCTAGCTCCTCATTTCTATAAACTCAAACAATCCACCTTCAAAACCCTAACTTTCCCAAAAGTAAGACACTAAAAAAAAAAACCAAATCACTTTAAAACCTTAAGAAAAGAAAAGAAAACCGCCTGGCTACTGAAAAACCAGAAGTCAACAATAATTACTTCAAAAAAAGAAAACAACACACGACCGATCATGAACATGATCGCAGAATAGTGACCAAAACGACACTGAATTCGAACAACACGCAAAAAAAATCAAAACAAAAATTACCTCGCTTTGTTTAAGTTTCTTTGAGATCGAAACGTCCTGGTTACCATCAGCCATGTCGAGATCCATTTATACCGAAATCTAACCCTTAAAAAATATTAAAAAAAAAAAAAAACGCGTGTTCGCTGTTTAAGACTGTACGGTCTCTCTCACACTCTCACACGGAGTAGAAAGAAGATCAGAATCAGAATCAGAAAAGGAACGGTTTTGATTTGATGGATGATCAAAAGAAAAAAGAGAAGGAGAGAGAAGCAGGTGGAGGTTGACGTACAAGCAGAAACACGAGTCTTGAGTCTGTCACCTCTCTCTCTCTCTCTCTCTCTCTCTGTTCTGTGAGAGAAACAGTGAAAGTGTGTGTGAGAGAATGATATTCGCGCCTTGTTAGGTATGTTTTTCATGTTATCGTGCGCAGGAAGGTCACGGTAAGTAGAAATAAGGTATGGTAAAGATATCTCACTAGTTGCACGTTTTGGAGTTTTGATTGGAAGAGGTGTCTGCTTGGTGACGTGGAAGAGGAGTGTTGGTGTTTGGGTCTAGTGGGTTTGGGTTTATGGTGAGGATGTAGTGTAGTTGATTATTGCTGATGTGCCTTGGTCCATACTGGACTTTTTCATAGGATTTATCAAAGACTTTATTTATTTATTTTTACTAAAAATAATTTTGGTGCTATTTTTTTATTTTTATTTTTTTGGTTTAAAAAGAGGAACAACGATTTTACTGTTTTTTTTCTTTTCCTTTTTTTTTAATTTAGGGTATTATTTTCCTTTTGGTTTCGTGGCTTCATTTCTTCTTTCTTTATCGTTGTTATAGAACTTAAATTATCCTATAATTGACTTGGATTGATGAAGAAAAAAGCATGATTAACTAGCCAACATGTTGATTTGATCAATTCAAGTTTAATTTGGTGAAGATAATGCTCTTGATTTGTTCATTTAGAAAAAATTATTCAAAATAATATTATTTTAATTATTTAAAAAACTGAGTCAACCCTTTTTATTTATCATCTTATCTCAAATAAATTCATAAATCTAATTTTATAACAATAATCCAATTATATTTGATTATATAAAATGAGTTTAATTAACTCCAATTGGTAATACAAAGACTAAATTTATAGATTTTGAATAATATCAAAAGAAATTATTGATTTAAAATGAATATTATATTTAAAGAAAGAAGTTGATTTTTTAAATGTTTATACATTGAATGGTAACTTGTTAAAGATACAAAGGTGTTTTAGGGTTGCTCTTCAACTTTTTTTTTGTTAAATTTTAAATTTTTTATTTTAATATTTTAGATTATTTTAATATATTAATGTGAAAAATAAATTGTAAAAATAAAACAAATTATTTCAAAGGTGAAATGAGTAACTTCATGATGAAAGCTTGACCTTCCAATCTATTCACATTTATTACCCTGCAGAAATTCAATGGCATTGAACTTCTCCAAATTAGAAAATTTCAACTAAGTTTTGTTCCCGACGCATCATTAGTAATTTCATGGAAATTTCCTGAGAGAAAATCATTAAAAATAATCATTACAAAATGACTTGAATGGTCAAGGGCTTTAAGATGTAAACTGCAAGACTAGCCATTAGTTCATTGGAACATGTTCTTTTCGGACAGGGATTTTTATTTTTATTTTTATTTCGAAAAATATAATATATGGATAACCCAAGGATGTGATGTTGCCATGACAATGATAGCTGCGGTTTTTCCAATGTTGCTGCTAGAACATGGAGAATTTTTAATTGTATTTTTAGGTATTTTCTGTATGAAAAAATGTTTCATCTTCCCTTCCCTTCGTAAATGATTTGCTATCAAGGTTGTAAAAATAATAATAAAATTCTAATCTAAATCCAATGTTATCCTTTGGATGCACCGTTGAATGTTATATGTTCTTTCGAATTAAGAGATGTAAATATTTGTTTTATTTATTGTAATTCTTACCTATAATCATGTAATGATTTAAAGATAATATTAGGTATTGTGTTAATAATTGTTTTTTAAAGTATTTTTTGTTTTAAAATATTTAAAATGATAATTTTTTTATTTTTAAAAATTTATTTTTAATATCAGTATATTAAAACAATAAAAAACACTAAAATATAATTTTCAATTAAATTTTTTAAAAACATTACTAAAATGAAAAAATAATCTGCCTCAAAATTACATTACATCATTACAAAATAATTTTTTTTAAGAGTATATCTTAACCAGTTAAATTATAAATTTGCTTTATAGAAATTAATAGTTTGAGTCTTACAAATCTCAAGATGATTAAATATTTACATGATCGTTAATTTTAAAACCCATGAGATTAGTTAAGGTACACGTTTTCAAAGCTCGTGAGATTAATTAAGATATGTACAAACTAACCTGAATATCCATATCAATCAAAGAAAAAAATGACTCCCTCACATCTTTAAGTAAAGATTCATGGATCTTATTATTTAAAAATGAGTTTTATTCTATTATTTTTGTTAAAATTTATTTTTTATTTTAAATTAGTTTTTTAGTGTATTTTTTATAGTTTTAACATGATGATACGAAAAATAATTTTTTTAAAAAATAAATAAAAAAATTCTAATATTAAAAAAATACTTTAAAAACATAATCACCAGAAAACAAACAAACATTAAAAAAGGTTACAAAAATAAAATAAATTTTTAATCCAAATCCAATGTTATCCTTTGCATGCATCATTGAATGTTATATGTTCTTTTGAATTAAGACATGTAAATATTTGATTTATTTCTTGAAATTCTTACTTGTAGTCATGTAATGATGTAAAGATAATCTTTGGTATTATGTTAATAATTATTTTTCAAATTATTTTTTGTTTTAAGGTATTTAAAATGATATTTTTTTTATTTCTAATTTTTTTTTAATATTAATATATTAAAATAATAAAAAACACAAATATAATTTTCAATTAAAATTTTTAAAAACATTACTAAAACGAAAAAAATATTCTGCCTCAAAATTACATTATATAATAATAAAATTATCTTAAAATTACATTATATTATTAGAAAACAACTTCTTTAAAAGTGTAGCTTAACTAATTAAATTATATATTTGTTTTATAAAAATCATCAATTTAAATCTTACAAACCTCAAGATAAATAAAAATTTATAACCAGGAAGGACACCACTCGTTAGCCCCACTCCCACTGAAATTAATTTTAAAATTCATAAAATTAGTTAATATATACATGAATAAATTTATTTGAATACCTATGTTAACCCTAATCACAAGACAACTCTCATACAAACTTTAAAAATATTAGGTGCACAACCTTGCTTGCCATGACACCAAACCTTTGTAACTTCAACAATTTCCCTTCTCAAGGAACATGTAAGTCACGATGCGAAGTTACACAACCTCGAGACTTTGATATCTTGCCCTCTTTACAAATTGTATCAATCAAAATGTTGAATCTAACAATATTTTACTTCGTATAATATATATATATATATATATGTATATATATATATATATGAAACAATTTGTAAAAGGAAGAATTCTTTTTTTTTTCCTAATTCAATTACAGTAACGAAAGAATTATTGAATAATAACATGAAATATTATTCAATGTCAGTGCATTTTTCAAATTATAACATTATTTCAATGAAGTTTTCTTCGCCGTACGTCACTCGTAATTTGACTAATTTCTCTAGCAATTTCCTAGAAGAAAATCATTAAAAAAAAAGAGAGTAATTACAGCATGACTTCAATGGCAGAAGGCTCTCAAATTGACAAAAACCTAATTTGTCTTCGGAACCCTACATCCACTTGTAATGTTCACTGTAACGTGAGATGTTCTTGTCATTCACCTAAAAAATACTTCGAGTTGGCTTTGAAGAATGTTGATTCTTTTCGTGTGATTTATTTATTATTTCTAAATAGATGAGGAATAAGTAAATATTTTCTCATCTTAATTACATACTGAAACCATTAGAATGCCTCTAAATAAACCTAACATTAATGGATATTTTTATAATAATTTTTTTGTTACTGTAATTTAAGTTAGAAGTAATTTGGTATTCCTATCGTATATAAAAAATAAAAAATAATAAAAATATACAATAATATAATAAAAATAACCTTAAAATAAAAAATAAGGTTGAGGCCAAGGAGGTTTTTTTATTTTTTATAATGGTTTTTTTTATTTATCCAAATAAAAAACAAAAATAAATTGCATGTTTGGCACACATGGAGCTTGTGGAGCACGTCTTGATCTCTCTCTCCTTGAAAGTTACAACTTTATCCTATTAGTTATCTGTATTCCAACTTCAACCTTATTATTTTAATTTTTCATATTTTATGTATTCCAACTTCAATCTTATTATTTTGATTTTTCATATTTTATCTTAATTTTTTTACAAAACATTTATTTATTTTTAATTTTATCATTAAATCTTAATTTATCAAATATTATATTTTCTAATTTGATCTTTATTTTTTGAATTTATAATTTTTTATTTTAGTCTTTTTTATAAAAGCTTTATTGTTTTTTAATTTTACCATTCAATTCAAATTGATAGTATTATGTTTTTCAATTTTATATTTGTTATTTTATTTTTTAATTTTTTTCTTGATCTTTTTGTAAAATTTATTATTTTTTTCAATTTCATTTTTTGATTACAATATTATTTTTATTTTTATGTCAATTTTGAACCTCATTTTTTTTATTTTTTTGCTAAATTAATTTTTTTTAATTTCACCATTCAATTAAATATAACATTTATTTTATATTTTTATTTTAATTCTCGTTTTTTCAATTATTTTTTAAATTCTTTATATAATTAATTTTTTTTAATTCATTATTTAATATATGATTACTTAAAAATTAAACTTTATTATTTTTTTAAGTTGATGTTTCGAGTTTAATAATTTATATAACAAGTTTAAAAAATTAACACAATTTTTTTAAATCTTATAATTTATTTTATTTTTTTATCTGGTTATTTACGATCTCAACTGCAGAATCAACAGAATATTTTAAGTTAACTCAGCCTTGATTATTATAATAAGTTTATAATAATCGGTTTTTTAATCTTATTTCAAAACATTAATATTATTTTGTACGCAAAAATAATTTTGCCATAGAATAAAGCAGGCACTGAGGCTAAGGCTGGTGCATACAACTAGACAAGACATTAATTAAATCAAGACTCGTCAGTTATGATGATTAGTTCTTTTTGTAATTATCAATTTTGTTGTCGCTGTGGCTCTTAGTTGATTGTTATTTTTAAGTAATAATTTTAAAATTAATATCACATCCCCTCCTTTCATTTGTTATTTTCAAAGGCTACAAATATTTATAGCTTTCTAAAATTAAAAATCCAGTGTTTTATTTTTTTATAAATCAAAATGATATTATTTTAATACAAAAATAATTAATAAATTATAACTAGATGGTTAACCGAATCTTACTAAATTCACCAAGTCAACCTCCAGAGTCAGCAAGGTTTTAAACTATCCCTGTATTTTTATAAATTTAACCTGATTTTAGTTTGAGATTAATCAGGTCGCAAATTTACCCATCAAGCCAGAATGGATTTTAAAACCATGCTAAAAACTATAACCACCAACTTTTCCAGGCGAACACCGGTCACCAGCCTAGAAGCACAGCGGAGCAATAGCATAGGCCAAGAGCAGGAAGGAAACAAATGATGCATGGAGCAGAATTTTTATCTCTCAATATGTTAAAGAAAAAAAAAAAGAAATTTTAACTCTCAGTTAAATTTTTCATTTTAAAAAATCCGTGTGATGAGAAGCTGAGGAGCATAAAAACCAGTTGTAAGATGAACACAGATATATACCACTGCTACCAGTTGTATGCCACTGTGACACTGTCACTACCATCACTACTTCTACCTCCGTTACTACCAGTACTGTCATCACCGGTCAACACACATACACCGGAAAATTCAACACACATGCACCGGAGAATTCTAAGTTTTATCAAATACCTCTTAGCTTTGAACTCCTATATATATTTCAAAATTTCAGTAAAAGGGAACCTTCCAACACGGTGAGCATAATGTCTACGCACTGGCTAAGCTTCAGACTCGAGCACGTCTATAAAGCTGCAGCATTTGTTCTTGTTCTCTGTAACAAATGGTTGAGCAGCAGCAAGAGCATCCAATTTCAACGAGTCAAGTGAGCCGATTTTATCAATAATTTTAGAATGTGAAGGAGGTTTCTTTCCAACAGTCCCATTCTTAGAATCTTTCCCATCATTTTCTGTTCTCCAGTTAATGATCTCTGGTATGGTTTTCCAGAAATGCCCATCTGCCTTTTAAGGAACTTCTCTCGGTTGGCCAAGTACAGCTGCAGAAAACACATTGAGTTTACCTTCGTCATAAAGATGGAGGGGACGTACATCTTTCTTTTCTTTTCGGAGCAATTCCCTGTACCATGTTTTTATATGCATTTTCCTGCTTGCAAGCTTTCCTTTATTGGTTTCTCATGCCATCATTTGGGTTGGTTCCTCATGCCATCATTTGGGTGGTGATTTTTCTTGATATCGTTGTTTATAACTTGCGTGATGTTTTGTTCATTTTCTTTGGTGCAGTTTGTGCTTTTGTGATATGGTTGACCAAAGGTAGATTTTGGAGCGATTGACTGGAATATTTTGCTTTCTTCTTACCGTGCGTTGGTTCCAGGTTCTTCATTCTTTCTTCTTTTTTATTTCACCCACAGTTACCTATCGGTTTATTGTCAGTTTTATGCATTAATTTTTTTTTTATCATTTTCCTGTTATTCATTGCCTGTTTTTCTTGGTTGCTGCAGTTCTTCATTCTCTCTGTCAGATCATCTTTCAGGAAAGGACTTGGACTTCAAGGTTAGAGCATGCCATGTATATATGGTTGGCATATGGATGGCCAGCGGGGGCTAGAGGCAGGTTTCTTTTGCCCAGCAATGGATGTAGACCATTTATTAGATATGGTGAAAATAAAGTGACTGATAAAAATTATCCATTTTAAATATTAAGCCAGTTTTAATGCTAAATTTGTGTTCTATTTTACAATTTTTGCAATATAGATATATAATTTAAGAATTTTATGGTAGCCTAAAAATATTAAATAGATTAGAATATACCATACGATACTAAGATATATTAAAAATTAAGATGTAATAAAATTATACCACCACCATTAAAAGTAAATAATGTAGTAATTAATTATAATAGATTTAATTTTGGTTAGATTCGAAGTTTATATTTTAGATGTTATTAATTTGAGTTTTATAAATTTTAAAATTACTAAAAGTTTATATAATTGTTAACTTTAGAGTATTGAGGAATTATTCGAGATACGTGTTAATTAATTTAAACACTTTAAATTAAAAAAATAAAAATATATAATAATCAAATTAAAACAAAAAAAATACAAGACAAACTTTAAGTAGCCCTGTATTTTTTAAACCCTTAATTTTAATCTTCAAAATTTTAATTGCTTTGCATCATTCAAATTATATTGTAATAGCTTTGTTTTTCATTGCTCTATTTCCATGGCAATGCTTTTTTTTTCTTTTTTTTTTTTTTGATTTACGTGGGATGTCCGGGCCAGCTTACGCGCACCATGACTAATCCCCACGGCCCACTAAATATCTTGCAAGCCTAGTGAGCAGGTAAGACACCGCGAGAATGACAAGAATAAATAGTAAGGCTCGAACTCAAGTGTAAAGGATGGGGACAAGCCCCTCCCACCACTAGACTACAACCTTACTTGCGTGAAGCTTAGTCATTAGTGAAGGGGATTACCACCGGCTGTTCATTTGGCCCCTAGTGGCATTTCAATTCAGCCCAGTTTCACTTTTTCTTATAAACTCTTATCATTTCTTATAAAATCTTAACATGGGAGCCCTGTTGTTTATATTTGATGTTCATTATTGTTTTTTTTTTTCATGTACAAGCAACAGTGTTTATGCTGTCAAAACAAAGCTCAATGAGCAAAGGTTGCTTCTTTTTTCTTTTTTTTTCATAATGGGTGGCTAGACGAATCATTAAAAAATTAATATGAAAGATATGTTAGGTTAATTCTTGATTTTTATTGTTTCTAACCATTAATTTATTTCACCTCTTGGTGTTGGAGGGAAAAAAAAACAAAAAAATTATTTATTTGCTAGAAAAATTAATTTTTGTTATTTTTTTAATTTGTCTTTTTTTCTTTTAATCAATTTGATTAGCATTTTATTTCATTTGTTTTTTTATCCAATCTTGATTTTTTTTATTAATTCTTCACTATTTTTTTTATTAGTATCTTATATTAAAATTGATCCTTATTGTTTTAATTATTATTTTTTTAGTTAATATTTCTGTTTTTTTCTCTCCTATAGAATCATGTCTAGAATCATGTCGGTCTCATAACTGAAGCTACTTGTTTTAACAGTCAGCCTAATTTAACTTCGATACATTTTTAAATGCTTTTATTTTGTTATTTAACATTAAATTACTGGACCTTAAATTTTTTATTTTTTTTATTTCAAGGTTATTCCAGGTCGTGGGTTGGTCAAATTAATACAAGTTACTTTGAATTTTTTTTTTAATTTTATTATTTGACATTAAATTATTGAGTCTTGAGATTTCTTATTTTTTATGCTTTTTTTTTTAATAGAGTTATTCTGGATAGCAGGTTAGTCACTTAATTTTTTTAATGTTATTTATCTATTTAGTTTTGATTCTTTGCTAGCTTATTTAAAAAATAATAATACTCTTATTTCAATTTTATGTTGAGGGTGGTAGGTTCATAAAATTCATCCAAGTTAATTTTTTTTCTTTTATGTGTTTTTTAAATTATTAATTTTTTTAATTTTATTTTTTGAAATTAATCTTGTTGGCCTCAAGATTTTTTTTTTAATTCTTTTTGGGTTATCTTAAATTGTGGACTAATCAAATTAACATGATTCATTCAGATTATCATAATTTAAATGTTTTATTTTATGTTAAAAAGAAATTGACCCGACCCGCACGGCAGATGGGTGTAATAGAGCGTGAATTGACCTCTGCATCTGGACATTGACTATTATTGCCACGTGTCAAGAAAGACCATGTCCAACTCACACACACCCAAACATTTCCGTTTTCGCACCAAAATTTCCCAGGCGCCAATATTTAGCGCCGAAATAACCCGCCAACATTACCCGCCCAAAACACACGCCCCAAAACCCTCTTCTTTATAAACCCCAACAAAACAATAGCAGCCACCACCCCTCTCTTGGCAACCCCGCGCTTCCGTCCCCATTGAAATCATAGCCAACCACCTGTTTGTCGAAATTCCCCACAGAAAAAACCCAGCAATGGTAGTTCCTCTAGGCCCTGGAAAATTCTATGGCAGCACCCTCCCTCGCCCCAGAATCTACACCGATGTAAGGCACAGTGCTGAACGAGTAGACCCGCCAGTTCCTGTTATGGATCCGTTTCTTTCATGGGCTCATGAAGCTCACTGGTCCATGGGAGGGCTCAGTTTCACCCGCCTTCGATATCAGGGTCGAATCGAAGGAAATACTGAGAAACTACGAAAACTCCGCGAAAAAAAAGTCAAGTTATTAGCCAAAACTAGCCCGAAGAAGAATGATTTGGCCCCGGATGGGCAGAAAGAGCGCAATAAGAAAAGGGGTGGGTCTGTCTCGCCTCCTCCAGCTCCTAAAGTGACAAAGAAGAGGAGGTTCTTGCAGTTGATTGACGAGGAGGAGAGTGAAGAGGGGGATCAAGAATTGGAGGAAACTGTGAAGATTAAAAGGGGTCTAGCAAGGAAGTTAGTGGGTGATTTTGAAAGGGTAGCTAAGGATAATCACAATGTGAAGGTTGCTGATTTGGCAAAGACGGTCACTGAGGAGGTTAGCAGAGAGGAAAAGAAATCAAGGGGTGGAAAGAAAGGTAAGAAAAGTGGCGGAGAGAGTGGATCCGAGGCTGTTATTGGCGGGATTAGGAGTTCACCAAGATTGGCTAAGCAAAGATATGTGAAAGAGGCTTAATTTATCAGATTGTGAGCTCTGTTAAATGTAATGAAATAGTAGGCAAACAGTCGTAGTTGAGGTTTTTTTGTTCTGTTTTTCTTTTTTCTTTTTTAAGTCTTATTAGATATGAGATTGAAATGAAATTAGTGTTGATAAGAATACAAGGGTTTCAATTTCATTGAATATATCTTTACCGAGAATTCCTGACTGAATCTTGTTTCATTTGATTTAATTGGTGTTCATGTTGATTTGATTGAAGATGCTTCATGGCCTGTCTAATTTGTTCAGTGTATCCAAGTTTCAGTTATCATTACTGTTCCCTGGTGCTGTTTTGCTGCTACTCTCATTGCTTATATGCTAAAACTTTCGGATTATAGTTTGCCCAGTCCTTAATTTCTCAGCTTGATACCCTTTGGGAATTCAATCCTCGTTTTGGTACATGATAATGACTGTTTGACACCAGCTTATTTTCAGATCCAAAAACAAGCAGCTGCTCTCCTCTCGTCTCCTGGCCATATACAGGAAAAACCTGAAGGATTGTTCACTAGTTTTAGGCAATCAAAAAATCTATTGCCTGTGCCAAAACTTGGCAGATTTGCCATTTCCATATCTTCAAACCAGTACAATGGAGCCTGTCAAGGTAGGTTCTTGCAAAGGATTGCTTTGCCCTGTGAACGTTCCAAATTCTGCAACAATGGATCAAAACTTCCACCTGGAAATCGGTCTATGGAATCCTACCGTATCTATGTACTTGGGTCTCCCATTTCTGACTATGGTAACTCCGAAACACGGTTTATATGGTAATGCTGTTGGTTTCATGATTACAAAGCGGTACGCCCCAGGGAAGACATTTGCTCTGTAAAGACGGGTTTGTGGAGAAGACTTGAGAATCCTCCTGCATATGGATGATGAAAGAACAGATGACACTCTTGGGATGGCAGTTCAAGTTTACTTTAGCTGCATCATCGGGACGAAAACTGCAATAATTTACAAGGGTGGATTGCTATTTGTGGACGAGTGGCTCCATATAATGATGAAGACAGCAACAAATGGATGATTTTGTATCTGGTGTTCATGGAATATCTCATGGAAATTTGATAATTTTGAGGAAAGCCTCGCTCTACTTTACTCGATGAAGAAAAAGCTCCATCTTACTCTAACAATAGTTGGTACAAGTGAGAAAGAATGGGAAGAAACAGGTGAAACAATCATCTTTAACACTTCACTTTTTTGTACTGTCTTCATTTGTTCCTGTAACAGGCCAACGGTGGCAGAACTACTCATGATAACCTCATTATTATTTTTAATGCAGGTTAGTTGAATACAAGGATTGAAGTGAATTTATTATAAATCATGTCTTGTAATCTTGTATAACAATTTAAAACTTTAAACTCTTGATTGAGATGCTTTTTTTTGATAGGATGGTGAAATCTAAAAAATCAAATGATTATAAAATTATTACCATCATTATTTCTAATTACTTATTAACTTAAATTCTTGGATTAAAATGATTTTTTTAAAAATTTATGCTTGACTGCATTCGTGTAACGAAGCATATGGAGGATGCAAATGTAAACAATCTACAAAGATT